ATGGTGCCATTTGTGCTGGTTGGCTCATGGCGCCGTTTGCACTGCTCTACGGGGCTGCCTATTGGCTGGTGTAGCTCTCAGCTAACTTAGGGCACTGTTCAAGCCGCGCCGCAGGGCTGCCTACTGCCCAGCAGAGCCCCCTGGCTCCAGGAGACTACAACTCCCAGGAGGCAAAGCGGGACAGGAACAGAACCCCCGTTCATAACCTTGCCCCTATGGCAATAAGGGTTAGAGTTACGACAGTGTGACTTAACGATGGTTTTCCCCGGACGCATTGTTGGCCCCACCCCAGGGCGTGCGGCGCACGGGGAGCATTGCCGTTGGGCGCGCGGCACATGAGCGGCCCCACTCCCGGGTGTGCAGCGAATGGGCGTCCCTGCGCCCAGGTGCGTGCACAGGGAGTGCCGGCCCCTGGCTCACGGCTATGGGGGGTGCCGGCCCCGGGCACGCGGCAAATATGCGGCCTTGCTCCCGGATGCGCGGCGCATGGGGTTGTCGCCCCCGGGCACACGGTGCATGCACAAACCCCAAATTAGTTGTGAATTCTGTAATTAGATTTCAACTGTGTACTCCTTAAGTACTAGAACAGCTCTAAACAAGGAGTCACAGCAGTGACCTTAGGTACTGTAGTCTATCTTGCCACCCAGGAAAATTTACCTTTGTGAAAGATAGTCCTTTACGCCAGATATATTCAGATTATTCCCAGTCCCATGTCAGTTGTACCTCCATTGTCACAATTGCTTGTAGCCAATCCAATAATAAACTAAACATTTTACTAGGAAAATAAGTGATTTGCATGATTAAAGAAAGCAAGCATATGCGCACAAATAAATAGGTCTTTAAAAAAAAAGTTTCTGTTGCAATATGCAAAGTTTGCATATCCTTTAGAGCTAACCTGAGGTAAGCAGTTTGGGGATCCCTTGCTTAGGCTTAGAAATATTGCCCTCCCCAAATGCTAATCAGCATGATGATACAGTTCCGGCTAATCAGAGATTTTTAAACCCTTTCCCTGGAGTTCAAATTGGTGTGCAAGTGTTTGTGACTGTCTCTTTGTGGGTATGGGGTATAGAGGGGAATCAACAATATCTTTGTACTTTGGTTGGCTCATTTGGTTTCAGTGGACTGCCTTGTGTGGAGGACCAGTGTTTTGCATTAATTAATATTCTTTCCTATTTGGTGAGTTACACAGTTAAAGAGGTTTGCAATGCAAACATTCAATAGAATTTTAGAGCATGGGTTACAGATGTTATATGTGAGATCAGTAAATGTAGCACCCTACATACATTTCGTCAAGTCTGAACACTAAACACATTCTTGTAAACATAACATCTGTTTTAACAATGCTAACACAAGTGAGCCAAATTGGTTTCCAGCTATGCATTTGTCATTGTTCGGTAAAGCCAAGGGGTCTTGGCACGAGCTGGCACCTGCTCTGCCAGCATTACTCTTTGTTGTCCATGATCTTTTCTAAGGGCATGTCTACACAATGGCAGCACAATCATGGTGTCACAGCTGTGCCATTGTAACCAGATAGGATAGGTATAGGTATTTGTATCTTCATATAGGGATCACACATAAGGTCAGTGTACTCATAACTTCCATCTATTCTAAACTTGCTGAAACAAAAGACAGGACTATACAGCACTTTAAAGACTAACAAGATGGTTTATTAGGTGATGAGCTTTCGTGGGCCAGACCTACTTCCTCAGATCAAATTGTGGAAGAAAATTGGCATGACCATATATACCAAAGATACAAGCTGAGAAGTTTGTTCAATATATTGGATAAACTTCTCAGACACTTCTCCAAAGAATTAATGCCCACAAATCAGACATCAGACAGTTTCACAAAGAAAAAACAGTTTCTTGTCATTTCAACCAGACTGGGCATTGTCTCAATGACCTCACTACATGTATCTTACTCCAAAGAGACTTTAACACCAGACTACAAAGGGAAACCTCAGAACTGTCATTCACGCTTAAATTTGACACTTTACGAATGGGTTTTAACAAAGATGCTAACTACCTTACCCATTACAAAGAGAGCTTCCCCAATTATCACCTCTAATATTATCTCATAGACACTAACCTCCCCCCCCCACACACACACCACCCCTCTGTCCTAAAATCTGATTTGTCAATTTTATGTGTTCACTTTTTTTTTATTGTATCCCTTTGGTATATATGGTCATGCCAATTTTCTTCTACAATTTGATGTGAGGAAGTGGGCCTTGCCCACGAAAGCTCATCACCTAATAAACCATCTTGTTAGTCTTTAAAGTGCTGTCTCTTGTTTCAGCAAGACCAGACTCACACGGCTACATATCTATTACTATTCTAAACTTGTTTTTCATCCAACTTCTATAAGTTAATTGTAGCGACTCATACAAATGTCCCGAAGAGCTAAAATAAGAGGAATGTTCAACTCATAAATGATTTAAAATATTTGTTGGGGTCAAACACATGACCAGCTTAAAATATATAACTGGCTCCCTCTGATAGATTACAATTCTATAGAATATAAGCTTTCACTAAAAAAAAGGGGAAAAAAAAGAAACCTCTTAGCTCTTGTTGTACAGAGAGCCTTCCAAACATGAACAGAGTATAAACAATACAGAGCTGTCTCTCTGAGACTGCAGATAACTGAAACATTGGCTTTAAGAGAAGCTGTCTCCATGCATCTTAGTTATAATTTAAGCCTATAAACTATACTGTATATCTCAAATTTAGCCTGAATTGCAGAAATACTGCAACTCTGTTGGGCTAACCATATATCTCGGGGATTAAAAGACAGAAATAGTGGTTGTCCTAAAAGCATCCAGAACTCTCTTTGACTAATGGTGAACGTAATAAAATAATCTTAATTTAAGTATAGTCGTTAGTTAAGGACTACCGTATTTTCCGGCGTATAGGGCGACTGGGTGTATAAGACGACCCCCTATCTTTTTAATTAAAAGATAGGGTTTCATCTTATACCCCAGCGCCCCTCCGCCTCCTTTGCTCCCGGTGTCCCTGGTCTGCTGGAGATGGTCCCCAGCAGACCAGAGGCACCGGGAGCAAAGCC